CCCCTGCCCTTTTCACTTTGTTCGCTTTATATTTAATTGCAGTTCAGTTCATCAGCTGTAGTTCAGTCATAGTTTCGTCGGCTGCTGCTGTATTTATTTATTGATTTATTAGCCCAAAATGGTTGTTAGTCTCGAAACACGATTTTGTCTTGATACACTTTAATTGTAATTTACTGTGAATGCTTTTTTGTTTTGCTTGTCATTCAAATCTGTTGCCATTCGGACAAATGTAAGATATTTATATTTTAAACTGAATCTGTCTATAACTGCTTAACAATTTAAGCTGTTTTAAAAATAATAGATGCAGTTCAGAAGAATATAATTAAAAAAAAAATTTTTTTTCTGTTTGATTCGAACAAAAATGCATATAATTCACGATAAATCTAATTAAAACATTAAGTACAGGTTGCTTCATATTGAATCGGACAAAAAGAACAAACAACATAGTACAAATTCTATAATTGATTTTTTTTAGCCGAAACAAATTAAGTCTGATGCAATTATGCGAGTTTTATACGGCAACAGCAAAAAATCATCCATTTACGAAATCGCTGCTAGAGGCACTGAGATAGCACTATCCATGCAGGAGAAAAAGTACTGCGTTTTGAAATACGCCAAAACATCGTCGTTCAAAGATATTTTCGCGCGAAATTTGATAAAGAACCACCGCATCATCACGTCATAGAACGGTGGTCGTAGCTGTTCAGGACACGGGCTGTTTGTGTAAGAAAACTAGCCCAGGACAAACCGCAGCCCGAACCGAAGTAGTTGAAAATAATCTTGAAGCGTTTTTACGAAATCCCATGAAATCAACGCATTGTGTGAGTTCTAAACTTAACGTGCGTAATGTAACGGTGGGGCGTGTGTTACAGAAATGTCTACAATTCCGGCCGTACACCTTTTCAGATGGTGCAGGCGTTAAAACATCCGATAAAACATTGTTAAAAGGTTTCTGTGAGAATTTGCAAGAACGGCTGGAGGTAGATGGTTTCGCGAATAGACTTGTTTAGAGATGAAACCACTTTTCACGTTTCTGACGCCATAATATACGATGACTTGTGTTTCTGACATTAATCGCCATTATTTACGATTTTGAGGGACGGAAAATCCACACAGTATAATGTAACAAGAGCGTGATTCTCTAGAGTTAAATGCTTTTTGCAGCGATGCCAACATTTGTGTTTTGGCCCTTTTTCTTCGTAAATCGACGAACGTTTGCATTTACGAAGATATGCTATTAGAGTGATTGGTTGTCTCAGCTGGAGTAAGCGCTTCCCGGCTTCATTCTGCAGCAAGACATTGCTCCACCAAATTGCCATAAAAAGGTATGCCAATACCTGAATAATAGTCTACCCCATGGCGGATTGACTATGCTTTGTCAAACGATATGGTATTGCTTCGTTCGCCACTGAGATCTCCAGATCTGATCCCTTGTGATTATTTTCTATGGGGTTTTGTTAAAGGAAAAAACGTTCGTGCTCCCATTTCTCCAGGACTTAACAGCAGTTGAAGCAGCGGATAATTGTAATTGAAGGGCTCGAATCATTAACAAAGGATATTCTATCACGAGTGTGGCAGGAACCGAAATGCCCCATAGATATGTGATCCGCAGATAGGTGGCATTGTAAAATAGCAGCCGTTAGAGGGCGCAAGATAGAGGTAGAGAAGAAAAAACGAGCGATGTCATCATAATTCCACTGATTACAGCTGGATGTGTATAATTAATCCATTAACAAACCAAGTTAATACTTCGCGCTATTCTAATGAGTCAAAGTAGAGGGGAAAACTTGTAAAGTCATTAGGATTTTTGAAGTAGGAACTACGTGAAAAATATGTAGTGCCCCCTCGCCGGGACTCGAACCTGGACCTCTCGAATACGCGTTGTGCTAACCGTTACACCACGAAAGCATGTAGAAATGAGAAAGACAATTGTCTTAATTATCTTATATACTCCCCCTTTTAAAGGGCGATTGGGGACTAAGAAATTCAATCACCAAATCCTAATGGAAGAACCATCCTTCCACCACCTTTTCATTCGGGCGTCACTGTAGATTCAGTAGATTATTTTGAATAAGGAGTACATGAAAAATGAGCAATGCCCTCGCCGGGACTCGAACCTGGACCTTTCGAATACGCGCCGAGTGTGCTAATGTACTAACCAATACGCCACGAAGGCACGCAGAAAGGAGGGAGAAAATATTAACAGATATTTGCCGGAGGGACACATATAGAACATCTACTTGGATAACTATAATTTCCCTGTAAATATGATTTATGAAAATAAAATGATTACAGCATTCATAGGTATTCTTTCTTTTTGTCCCATTCAATATAAAGCACTCTAATTACATATTTTTCACTTTTGAAATATAGAGAAGATATGTAACGTTCCCATGTTAGCCTAAACGTATATTCATATAGTACCTATGAAATGTTTCGCTGTTCCACCTGGCCATCTCTAGGGATTATCTCTCCTGATAAGTCATATTTAACTTTAGGAGTCCTCATGGGCGACCGTTAAAATCTGAAGTTAGACATTTTTTTTTTTTTTTTAAATCAAAGAAAGAATTACGTAATTCTCTATATACAGTGCAAAAGAAGTATATCTTTTTCTTACCATATTTTTGAAACGTAACTTTATTCTTCTGTGTGCTGAATGTGTAGAGACACTTGTCCGCCCTCCTTTTGATGTCCGTTTGTTGTAAAATGCAATGATATCCTGATCGTTAAAATTGTTCATTTAGTGTGAATAATGAATTCATTGTTAGTTGCTCCTTCATACTCAGTTGCTTTCTGTGCTTCGCTTGCTGCGTACTTAGATCTTGGGGAAGTTACTTTTATTAAAAAAAAAGAAAAGCAAAATTCGGTCACCGAGTTCAAGCAATGTCATAAGCTTAACTACAAGTACATATTCTTCTCTGTGTTGATTTCACAGGAATACGAAGCTTCTGTTCAAGCTAATTATGAGTGTTCTGTCTGAAAGATTTAAATTTGCTTCATATTACAGCCTGGACTAAAATGCAAAAATTTAATAGCTAGTAGCTTGCAGCTTACGTTTATTCTGTTTTTGTCGTTTTTCTTATAGCTGCGCGGAGCATATGGAATACTTCATTTATATCAATGATTTTTTACATTTTGATTGGGAAAAGAACGCATCTGTGCAATTTTGCAAAGATTATGGCCATATCTCTTAGAAAAAACGTTAAACACTGCATACAAAACATTTACATGGTTCAACTACTTCTTTCGGGTAATTTTGCAAAAGAATCTGGAAAGGATATCTTTCCAAATGCAACAATGTTCTTTTGCAAAATTTGTGAAGAACCTTTTTGTGTTGAAAAATGCTATTTTATGCTGATCTGCAATTAACTGGAAATGCATTAACGATAAAATAACATAATTTTTAGCACTGTTTGTAGCGATAACTTCACGCCACAGTCTGTTTTCATATAATTTGCGTACAGGATTTTATGTCGGCCGACATTGCACTTTGGAAAGCAGAAAATGAAATGAAAAATTCCCTGTAAGTCTACCACGAGGGTGCATATTGGGTGCTGCGTATATTGGTGCAGATGAGAATATCAGAAAGACGGTTAGAGACAGCAATATTTTTAACTCCATTGATGGAACTGATTTTCTGATTGCTTTGTTGGTTGGGGTGAAATCTTGAAACTGGTTTTGATCACCTTTCTACCATCCTAATTTTATTGACATTTGTCATACATTCGTTATTACAATGCAGTATTCCACAGAAATCTGAGTTTATAATGCACAAAATTTCGATTTTTACAACATTGAATTGATCAAAAACTTTCAAATGAAGACTGTTCAGAATTTTAAAAATAATTTCCCGTAATTCCTTTGTCGCTTCCCATAAGTCGATATTTAGTTATTGTACTACTGCTAATAATGTTGAATTTTTAAATCAAACGATTCACTCTTTCATGATGAGGTTGAGAAGCAAGATGATGCATTGGATTCATTAATCAAATAGATTTTTAATAAATTTAAACGTGTTCGATATCCAATTGTAATTACCACGAAATAAATTCCGTAAATTTTATGAATTCGAAACTTAGCTTCTTAATTTTGCTGTACATGCCGTTTTTCATTAATGAAGTACTGAAATTCAGTATTTCGTAATCACAGAGTACCTCGACTTTTCAAATTCGGCACGTCTGATAGAAAAAGGAAATGTTTGACTTTTTATTAAAGCGCTGCCAATCAATGCGAAATATTTGAATAAAAAGAATTGTTTTACTGTAAGCTTTTTAGTTATTTCGGTTTGTTATTATTACATAAGCGTCGTTTGCAATTGTTTCAGATCATTAGAAATTTGCATATACCACAGCTCACTTTCATTCGGCATTTCATTTGCAGTAACCCAGCAAAGGACTCATTTTTTTTTTTTTTTATTCCCTGTTGAACAAATTATTATGACATGTTTGTTTGTTGTTCATAATCCTACTAGTTTTCTTTCTTTTGCTATAAAGTTGCCATTAGTTGCTGTTATAGATGTAAAAAACTGTCACGTGTGCAACATGCGTGAAATATTTGTCTTTGCTTTTAAGCAGCCGAACTTTCTCATGTAAAGCTCCAGGCAAACTACTCAATACCGTTATGAAACGTAAATCTTTTTTTTTCCCTTCTTTCTAACCCTTTTTATTCTTAGATTTTTCGTTTCGAGTCATTGGTTTCAAAGTTGACATCTAGGGAAAAAACATAGCGGTCACTTCGCTGGGATTCTTAATGAATCTTGTTCAGTCACAGTGAACGTTTTGCTTCACAAGCTGTCGAGTGAAGGGGATTTATATTGGGTAAAAGAAAAGTGTATGGGATCCATTCAAAAAAATCTTAATAAGTTTTTCTTAAATTCTCCACTTGCGTTGCTTTATGGTTGAGTTGTCTCTTGTGTCAACTTCTTCCGCATGGATGGTTGCTGTCGTCGTTATGATCTTCTTCATAGTTTCTTTGGAGTGCCTTCGAGTAGTGATGTGAAAGTTTTTTGTGGCATTTCTTTCCTTCTGGCCACCCTTATTTCACCCTTCGTATAATTATTTTATCCTTATTGTGGTTGTATTTCTTGGAGACCATGGACGTAGATTTAGATCGTAAGTTTGTATTTTATTTCATACTGCCAAAAAGGCACTTTTACTTCAATTGTTTTTAATTTGTCGCTTCCTGTTCTATACTGTACCATCCTTGAGTGATAATATTTCTATATATGCTATCTCTTTTTTAATTTATTAATATCACAGCAAATATTTGACTGTGTATATTCGCATTTATTAATTATTGTTATTTGAGCGGGAGTTGGGTTGTTCCTCTTGAAAAGTCAACTAATTTTCGATCAATGACGATAATTACTTCGTTTATTAATTTTCTTTCTCAAAGTGCAATTTTTTTAAAAATAAATTCGTGATTTAAATTCAAATACCTTTCAAAATCTTTTTCATGATTAAAATTCAAGTTCCCTTAGAAAGTTTTTTTCATGATTTACATTCAAGTTCCTTTAAAAAACAATTTTCGGAATTTCATTCTTCTGGGTTACCTAATTTTAATACATTCCTCAATTTATGTTAGGAGATAATATAATCAATATATTTTTAGTAAATAAATTATTATTATCTTACTTTGCAGCTATTGCACAAGTATTAGAAAAATTTGTTTTCGATTTCAATGAATTTTAGTTCATTCAATATTATATATATATGTATAGTATATATGGATTGAATTCTTCCAATTAGGAAAAGTTTATTTAAACTGTCTGCAAAATTCAGAACATTTGTGTATGGTTTTCATAAAATGAGTATATTTTCTTTTTTATGGTTTTAAAAATATTGTCATATGTTTCTGTGACGTAGGGGAAATTAGTTATTTTTTAACGATCTTGTCTGGTTTTCAAAATTGTATGTAAATCCCTTAAATAATAGGATTCGGAAATGTCTTCAGATCTTGTCTTGTCGAGTCATTAGGATTTTTGAAGTGGGAAATAAGAAAAATGAGCAATGGCCTAGCTGGGACTCGAACCTGGACTCTTCGAATACGCACCGAATGTGCTAATGTTACTTCACGAAGGCATGCCGAAGGGAAGGAGAAAATACCTTATAGTTTTATAACTATTTAGCAATCATTTTATCTCGAGTTCATCATTCTACTTATATATTTTATTTTTATTTATACACTGTATTTATTATTCTGTATATATTTGGACTTATATTTATCTTTTCTTTCATTGACAATGGTATGAATAAGCCACAAACTAAAATTCTCGGTTCTTTCTTTTACTGTTAGTTTTTGTATTAGGTTCCATAAGAGAAAATTTGGAAGTTACTTTTTTTTAATATTTTATAACATTGAATTATTAGGGATTTTGTAATTTAGTTGGTAATATTTTTATCTTTTCAACTGACAATTTTAAAATTCTCTTCGCTTTGATAGATTTTGCTGGTAAGACATTAAAAATGGAAGATTTTACAATTATTTTCAGCTAAGCATAAAACTTTAATTATTTATTATTCAATTAAATACTATTTTTCCTTGAAATATCCGTTTTATTTGGTTTGATGATGTTTGTTTATTATGGTTTTGGTTCGGTTGTTCAGGTTGGTTTCGGTGTATGTTTGTTCAGATTATACTTTGAAATTAATGATCCCCTTCTACCGAGCCGATTTTCTTGAAATTTTGCTCACAGACGTTTTAGCGATGACTGTATATTATTAAGAAACTTTCCTCAAAAATTTTAAAAGTTATTATTTTCTTTTGTATTTTGTCACATCCCCTCCTAATCATGCTATTTAGTTGCATTATTTAGACTTTTATGCTGTTCGTATATATAGAAAACTAATCTTCCAAGTGAAGTTCTCCCCCCCCCCGGAAATCCTAGGAAATTTCGGAAATGCCGACTTTTGAAGATCTTTTCAAATTTGGTCAATGGGCTGCTGACAATAAATAAAAATTTTCAAGTAAATAGAATGTAAACTTTGTTTTTTCTATATCGGGAAATGCTTGTAAAAAAAAGTGACTCACATAGTTTGTTGCTATTTATATCAACAAAAATAATTTTGCTATATTTAGAAACAATTATTTCCTTTCTTTATTTTTACCCTCTTTCAGTGAATTTAAAACTGGAAAATAAATATGTTAAAAAAAACCCTCTTAATTAACAAGTTTAATTAAATGCATTAAAAATTGTTTTTTATTAAAACTATTTCGGTCGTAAGTTGTGGAGGCAAAGGTCCTTCTCATTATCCGATGCACTCCGTGCGCTGTATTTGAGCAGGAAAATTCCCCGGATATGTCGCCATTTGAGCATGTCTGGTTCATTGGTCGGCGGCTCACTCATACAGCGGGTGGGCCGCACATTAACACGGGATTTTGGCATCAAGTCGAAGCCAAACGGAATATCACTCCTCACAATAACATTCAGAACTTGTATGATTCAATGCCACGACGTGTACAGGCTCTTACTGCTCAGTGTGGAGGACACATAAAGTTCTGATCCGCGACGTTGTCTCGTAAATTTGATCTTTTATTTGTACCACTATCAGTAATACATGCAATAAATTTCATTCATTTCCAGCAATTCCTTCCCGGTGTTACATTTTTTACAATTTTTAGTGCACAAGGTGGGGCTCTCTCAGATATCTCAATGCTTCGACTTCAGTTCTGAACTAAAAACTACTACTCAGAAAAAGATGCTCTCTCCGGTCTTACGTAGTTTTCTCCTGGCCTCTGAGAGAACTCTACTAAATTCCATTGCTCGAAATACAGTTACAGTTACATCTAAGGGACGGGTACAGGTACTATAGTTGCATAATTGGATCAAATACAGTTTTTCAATTACATACTCAGTACAGTTATACAGGGACCCGAGGAAAATGTCGCCAAACTTTTTGCGACATCTCGCCAGCTTAGCGAGATAGCCATAACAGACTTGCCCTATATCCTTACTTTTCTGAAAACAATCTTTGTCCAATCTTTCCCTCTCCCTCGCTTCTTTAGATTTTTCATGTCACATTATTATTAAAAAAAATCACATATTTTTTCACTAAAATCATTTATATATGCACAAAATTCGCAACGATATTTTCGAAAAAACAAAATTAATGAAACGGTGAAATCAGAATCGCAAATAGTACCCGACTGCTGCACATTAAATTCAAATCTATTGTGCAATTTTCTTAAAAGCAGTTATAGTTAAAATAATGTATTTAAAATTACAGTTATTGGAGGGGGGCAATGAATTTCATCACCAAACAAAATTCTACTACAGTTATATACACAATTATACATTTAATCTACACCTATCCACATGTACGTTACATCCATTGTTTTTAATGTGTATTAGAATCAAATATGCTTCAACATTAATGATATTACTATGAATCTTAACGGGATCACGCGTAAATTAGAATTTAGTACTAGAACATATTAGCAGTATGACGAAGAATATAATTTGTCAAATAAATCAGCAAACAGCATTTATGTTGTAAGTGGAAATATTACAATATGTACATTTTATTTACCTAGGTTCTCATCTAAAGTAAAATAAAAAAAAAAGAAAGAAAGAATACCTATGATTCATTCGTTCAGCACACTTTTCAAAAGATTCGAATCCTTGTAACTAAAAGAAAGAGCTATAATAAGTCACTGATGATAAACATAATTTAAAATAGTTATAGTATGAAATACAGTAAACAAAAGTTGCAGTAAAGATATAAGCCACTTTTACAACTAGCAGCAAAAATAAAATAAAAGTAATATATAAATACTCTTTAGATTTGCAGACTATGAAATTCCAGGACATCCACAATTACGAAAGATAACATAAAGAACAATTTTATACGGAAAATATACGGAAAAGATGTAGACACAGAAAATATAAATTAAAAAAATTAAGTTACACAGTTTTAGTTAATTAGACTGACAAGTAAAAAGAAAAAATTATTTATTGTTTAGCGCATCAGGACTGGTAAAAATGCGAGATTTTAAATCAAAATTATCAAAAGGAAGTTAAATCAATACAATAATTTTTTAGTATATAATTTTTATGCTATGACTTCTATTGCTTCTTAAAATGTTATTAAAATTATTAATATGCAAATATAATGCGCTTAAGAAGGTAACGTGATTTTACCCCTTTGTTTCTTAGTATTTTGAATTCGAATCTTTTGAAAAGTGTGCTGAACGAATGAATCATAGGTATTCTTTCTTTCTTTTTTTTTTATTTTACTTTAGATGAGAACCTAGGTAAATAAAATGTACATATTGTAATATTTCCACTTACAACATAAATGCTGTTTGCTGATTTATTTGACAAATTATATTCTTCGTCATACTGCTAATATGTTCTAGTACTAAATTCTAATTTACGCGTGATCCCGTTAAGATTCATAGTAATATATTCATTAATGTTGAAGCATATTTTGAATTCTAATACACCATTAAAACAAAATGTGTATGTAACGTACATCGTGGATAGGTGTAGATTAAATGTATAATCTGTGTATTATAACTGTAGTAGAATTTTGTTTGTTGATGAAATTCATTGCCCCCCTCCAATAACTGTAATTTTAAATACATTATTTTAACTATAACTGCTTTTAAGAAAATTGCACAATAGATTTGAATTTAATGTGCAGCAGTCGGGTACTATTTGCGATTCTGATTTCACCGTTTCATTAATTTTGTTTTTTCGAAAATATCGTTGCGAATTTTGTGCATATATAAATGATTTTAGTGAAAAAATATGTGATTTTTTTTAATAATAATGTGACTGAAAAATCTAAGAAGCGAGGGAGAGGGAAAGATTGGACAAAGATTGTTTTCAGAAAGAAGGATATAGGGCTCTGTTATGGCTATTCGCTAAGCTGGCGAGATGTTCCAAAAAGTTGGCGACATTTTCCCTCGGTCCCTGTATACTGTACTGATATGTAATGAAAACTGTATTTATCCATTATGCAACTATAGTCCTGTACCCGTCCCGTAGATAACTGTAACTGTATTTCGAGCAATGGAATTTAGTAGAGTTCTCTCAGAGGCCAGGAGAAAACTACGTAAGACCGGAGAGAGCATCTTTTTCTGAGTAGTAGTTTTTAGTTCAGAACTG